CTCCAAACATCCATCGACATGGAGTTTCTTCATGTATCTTACGCCAATATGACCTAAGCGGCAGTGCCACAAGAAAGTGGTACTATCTACATCTTTTGGCGTGAACATGTGTATTACTACGACCGAGATTCAATGAACCATTCACATAGGGTGCATGACCATGAAAGGTATCATTCATGTAAACAGAATAACCATTATTCTCTAACTTAAATGAATGACTGTATTGCAATGAACACGATCTAATCATATTCATGCTCAATGTAGACACATGATAACATTTATCTAGGTTCGATACTAATCCCGAAGGCAGATGGAGTGTGCGATGGTGATCTCAACAACTTTGGAAACACTTCCAACACACATCGTCACCTCACCCTTAGCCAGTCTCCGTTTAGTCTGTAGCTTTTGCTTCAAGTCACCAATAATAGCAACTGAACCGGTATCCAATACCCCGGTGCTACCAGGAGTACTAGTGAGGTACACATTAATAACACATATATACTTTGTTGAAGTTGCCAGCCTTCTTATCTACCATGCATTTGGGGTAATTCCACTACCAGTGACCGTTCCCCTTACAATAGAAGCACTTAGTCTCGGGTTTGGGTTCAACCTTGGGATCCTTCACTGGAGCGGCAACTATTTTGCCATCCATGAAGTTTCCCTTCTAGCCCTTGCCCTTCCTGAAACCAGTGGTCTTGTTAAACCGTCAACACTTGATGCTCCTTCTTGATTTCTACCTTTTGCGGTCTTAAGCACCGCGAACAGCTCCGGGATCAACTCCATCCCTTGCATGTCATAGTTCATCACGAAGATCTAGTAGCTTAGTGATAGTGGCTAGAGAACTCTATCAATCACTATCTTATCTGGAAGTTTAACTCCCACTTGATTTAAGTGATTGTAGCACCCAGACATTCTGAGCACATGCTCACTAACTGAGCTATTCTCCTCCATCTTGTTGGCAAAAGAACTTGTCAGAGGTCTCACACCTCTCAACACGGGCATGAGCCTGAAATCCCAATTTCAGCTCTTGGAACATCTCATATGTTCTATGGCGTTCAAAACGTCATTGGAATCCTGATTCTAAGCCGTAAATTATGGTGCACTAAACTATCAGGTAGTCATCAAAATGTGTCTGTCAGGTGTTCACAACATCCACAGACGACGTTGTAGGGGTTTGCACATCAAGTGGTGCATCAAAGACGTAAGCCTTCTGTGTAGCAGTGAGGAAACTCCTCGGACTATGGACCTAGTCCGCATCATTGCTTACAATATCTTTCAACTTAATCTTTCTCTAGGAACGTATTGAAACAGGGAGCTACAACGTGAGCTATTTATCTATAACATATTTGCGAAGACAATTTAGACTATGTTCATGATAATTGAGTTCATCTAATCAAATTAATTTAATGAACTCCCACTCAGATAGACATCCCTCTAGTCATCTAAGTGAAACATGGTCCGAATCGACTAGGCCGTGTCCGATCATCACGTGAGACGGACTAGTCATCAACGGTGAACATCTCATGTTGATCATATCTTCTATACAACTCATGTTCGACCTTTCGGTCTTCTGTGTTTCGAGGCCATGTTTGTACATGCTAGGCTCGTCAAGTCAACCTAAGTGTTTCGCATGTGTCCCGAGGCCATGTCTGTACATGCTAGGCTCGTCAACACCCGTTGTATTCGAACGTTAGAATCTATCACACCCGATCATCACGTGGTGCTTCGAAACAACGAACCTTCGCAACGGTGCATAGTTAGGGGGAACACTTTTCTTGAAATTTTAGAGAGGGATCATCTTATTTAAGCTACCGTCGTTCTAAGCAAATAAGATGTAAAACATGATAAACATCACATGCAATCAAATAGTGACATGATATGGCCAATATCATTTTGCTCCTTTTGATCTCCATCTTCGGGGCTCCATAATCATCATTGTCACCGGCATGACACCATGATCTACATCATCATGATCTCCATCATTGTGTCTTCTTGAAGTTGTCTCGTCATCTATTACTTCTACTACTATGGCTAACGCTTTAGCAATAAAGTAAAGTAATTACATGATGTTTATGCTGACACGCAGGTCATAAATAAATAAAGACAACTCCTATGGCTCCTGCCGGTTGTCATACTCATCGACATGCAAGTCGTGATTCCTATTACAAGAACATGGTCAATCTCATTCATCACATATATCATTCATCACATCCTTTTGGCCATATCACATCACAAGGCATATGCTGCAAAAACAAGTTAGACGTCCTCTAATTATTGTTGCAAGTTTTTACGTGGCTGCTATAGGTTTCTAGCAAGAACGTTTCTTACCTATGCGAAAACCACAACGTTATATGCCAATTTCTATTTACCCTTCATAAGGACTCTTTTCATCGAATCCGATCTGACTAAAGTGGGAGAGACAGACACCCGCTAGCCACCTTATGCAACTAGTGCATGTCAGTTGGTGGAACCAGTCTCACATAAGCGTACGTGTAAGGTCGGTCCGGGCCGCTTCATCCCACGATGCGGCTGAATCAAGATAAGACTAGTAACGGCAAGTAAATTGACAATATCGACACCCACAACTGCTTTGTGTTCTACTCGTGCATAGAAACTACACATAGACCTAGCTCATGATGCCACTGTTGGGGATCGTAGCAGAAATTTAAAATTTTCTACGCATCACCAAGATCAATCTATGGAGTAATCTAGCAACGAGGGGAAGGAGAGTGCATCTACATACCCTTGTAGATCGCTAAGCGGAAGCATTCAAGTGAACGGGTTTGATGGAGTCGTACTCGTCGTGATCCAAATCACCGATGATCCTAGCGCCGAACGGACGGCACCTCCGCGTTCAACACACGTACGGAATGGAGACGTCTCCCACGCCTTGATCCAGCAAGGAGGAGGGAGAGGTTGAGGAAGAGAGTCCAACAGCAGCACGACGGCGTGGTGGTGATGGAGCTCGTGGTTCTCCAGCAGGGCTTCGCCAAGCACTATGGAGGAGGAGGAGGTGTAGGAGGAGGGAGGGCTGCGCCAGGTTCAAGGGTGTGGCCGCCCTCCCACCCCTCCACTATTTATAGGTGGGGAGAGAGGGGGCCAGCCCTCTTAGATCCCATCTAGGGTTGGGGGCGGCGGCCAAGGGGGGGGGGAGGAGTGCCTCCCAAGTCAAGTGGAGGCCATCCCCCTTAGGGTTTCCCCTCTTCCATGTGCATGGGCCTTGGGGGGGCTGGTGCCCTTGGCCCATTAAGGTTAGGGCGCCCCCTACAGCCCATGCTTCTGTATTAGACGTGGTGGAACATTTTCCGGACCTCCAGACCCCTCCGGAATCCTCCTGAACCTTCCGGAAGCTTCCCGGCACAATACCGGAAAAAACCGAACTTTTCCCGGAACCCGAACAACAACTTTCCATATATAAATCTTTAGCTCTGGACCATTCCGGAACTCCTCGTGACGTCCGGGATCTCATCCGGGACTCCGAACAACATTCGATAATCACATACAAGTCTTCCTAATAACCTAGCGTCATCGAACCTTAAGTGTGTAGACCCTACGGGTTCGGGAACCATGCAGACATGACCGAGACAACTCTCCGGCCAATAACCAACAGCGGGATCTGGATACCCATGTTGGCTCCCACATGTTCCACGATGATCTCATCGGATGAACCACGATGTCAAGGATTCAATCAATCTCGTATTCAATTCCCCTTGTCCAGTGGTATTGTACTTGCCCGAGATTCGACCGTCGGTATCCCGATACCTTGTCCAATCTCGTTACCGGCAAGTCTCTTTACTCGTTCCATAACACATCATCCCGTGATCAACTCCTTGGTCACATTGTGCACATTATGATGATGTCCTACCGAGTGGGCCCAGAGATACCTCTCCGTTACACGGAGTGACAAATCCCAGTCTCGATTCGTGCCAACCCAATAGACACTTTCGGAGATACCTGTAGTGAACCTTTATAGCCACCCAGTTATGTTGTGACGTTTGTCACACCCAAAGCACTCCTACGATATCCGGGAGTTGCACAATCTCATGGTCTAAGGAAATGATACTTGACATTAGAAAAGCTTTAGCATACGAACTACACGATCTTTGTGCTAGGCTTAGGATTGGGTCTTGTCCATCACATCATTCTCCTAATGATGTGATCCCGTTATCAACGACATCCAATATCCATGGTCAGGAAACCGTAACCATCTTATTGATCAATGCGCTAGTCAACTAGAGGCTTACTAGGGACATGGTGTTGTCTATGTATCCACACATGTATCTGAGTTTTCTATCAATACAATTCTAGCATGGATAACAAACGGTTATCATGAACAATGAAATATAATAATAACCAATTTATTATTGCCTCTAGGGCATATTTCCAACACGCGGGCCCTCTTTCCCTCTCTCTCTCTCCCTCTCTTTCCTTTCCCCTTCTCTCTTCCTAGTTGGACTAGGAAAAGGGAGTCCTACTCCTACTAGGAGGAGGACTCCCCCCCTCCTTGGCGCGCCCCAAGGGCCGGCCGGCCTCTCCCCCTTGCTCCTTTATATACAGGGGTAACGGGGCACCTCTAGACACACAAGTTGATCTTCGTGATTGTTCTCTTAGCCGTGTGCGGTGCCCCCCTCCACCATAATCCTCGATAATATTGTAGCGGTGCTTAGGCGAAGCCCTGCGACGGTAGAACATCAAGATCGTCACCACGCCGTCGTGCTGACGGAACTCTTCCCCGACACTTTGCTGGATCGGAGTCCGGGGATCGTCATCGAGCTGAACGTGTGCTAGAACTCGGAGGTGTCGTAGTTTCGGTGCTTGATCGGTCGGGCCGTGAAGACGTACGACTACATCAACCGCGTTGTGCTAACGCTTCCGCTTCCGGTCTACGAGGGTACGTAGACAACACTCTCCCCTCTTGTTGCTATGCATCACTATGATCTTGCGTGTGCGTAGGATTTTTTTTGAAATTACCATGTTCCCTAACAGGATTGACCTTGTCAATGACAATTGGGAGGTCTTTTTGCATGTGCCCCTAAGGACCAGCTCAGTTGTTGTTGTTGAACCCTTGAATCAATTCAAACGGCTTGACACCAAATATTGTTGTCGTTGTGCATGACAAGAAACTCTAACCTCGTCACCTAAGGAGACGACAGAAATCTACACCAGAGGTCTGTCGACTCCATCCTAACGAACAAACTTGAGATGGATCAAAGGCAGGAGACCATCTCGAAGATGAAGCACTGCCCCAGTGAGGACTGAAAAACCCTAACCTGAATTAATAGCCGAAGTCGCACTGGGATTCACTTCCCTGCCACCGACTGCTGGAGTGGCATCTAGAGGGGATGTGAATCCACAGGCTAGTCGGAGGACCTAGAAGGAACGAGATCTTCACCCTAGCCGCCGACCGCCGTTGAGAGGAAGAAAGATGACATCGATTTCACAAGAATTTATGTATAATTAATCTTTGTAAGGTTGTTTTATAAGGGTTGACCAACTTTGATACATGGTCTTTTTTTTTCTTTCTAAATATATATATGTTTGCTGCATCATGATTTAACGGAAACACCCCACACATGTTTTTTAGAATGTAGTACTCCCTCCGTTTGGAATTACTTGTCGCAGAAATGGATGTATCTAGACGTATTTTATTTCTAGATACATTCATATCCAAGACAAGTAATTACGAACGGAGGGAGTATATGTCACACACATGTTGAGAGAAATGTATATCCGCGATATTAATATGTTCCCCTTGTCGGAAAAATGTTTGAGAGAAATGATTACAATCTGAATACATCTATCCGCAAAAAAGAAAAAGAAAAACAACTGAATATCGTCGCGGGTTCTGGGCATTGGCGCTGGGCCACAGCCCATTTTCTCGGGTTACTCCTATAAACGCCGTCGGCTCGTCCCGAGAGAACGGCGCCTGCTTTCCATTCCACCTGGGGCTCGGGCGCGACCAACGACGGACGAGCAGCAACAATGCTCCGCCTCTCCCGCTTCCTCCCCTCCACCTCCAGGTCAGCTGCCGCGAAACCCTAAACCTCCCCTCCCCCTCCCCCTCCCCGTCTCCGCTCGGCGCGACCCCGCCTCGGGCGCGCGCCAAATGGGAGACCCTAGCCGCCGCCGCCGCCGCCGCCGTACCATTTCCCTGTCCCCGTGTCCCGATTTCGAGGGTTGGTGTGCTTGCTGAAGCGAATCAGCCCCTCGACCGAGTCCGTGAGCGCGCGTGCTCGGTCGATTCGGGGGATTTCGTTCGGGATTTTATTTTGCATAAATTTGGCTGGGGGGTTTTCTTAGGGTTTAAGAGTTGACTTGTGGTAAGAGCGCGGAGTTGGTTACCTGTCGATTTCTCCGCCCTTTAAATTTCTGCAGAATATGGCCATGTTGTTTCTAGGCGTAGATTTTGATGCTATTTGCGCTCTGACTGTTTCATTTGCTGGAGAACAATCATCCTAGTCATACTGTTAGGATCAAATTTGGTCATCATAGTAGCTATATGTTCATATGTTAATCAGTGCTCGAAGTGCATAAATGTGTATGGATACAATGACCAACTAAGACAGTAAATTGTTAGTGCCAATTTTAATAGTTTGATGTGCCCTAGTTATTGCACATCTAAGTGACCCAATCAAACACAAAAAGGAAAATAAAAATAATAAAGAGAAACAGTTTTGCTAAAGCACATCTAGATGTGCCATAAGTATTGCACATCTAAGTCCTATATCATATCATTGATCTTACGTTGAGATTCATGTGGATATTTTCTTTTTCCTTTTTTCTTTTCCTCTTTGTGCTTGATTCACTCACTTAGATGTGTAATAACTAGAGCACATCTAGATGTGCCCTAGACACACCCAGAAAGAAAATACCCACACGAATCTCCGTGCAATATCAGTGATATAGGACTTAGATGTGCAATACTTAGGGCACATCTAGATGTGCTTTAGCAAAACAGAATTTGATACTACCAGGATCTCATTGTTGTTTCAACTTGATGCTGCTTGCCACGCCCTTGTAAAAATGATGACACCACTGAAATTAGCAATTTGTTGTCACCTGATCAATTTTAATCTTGTTCAGTTTTTCCTTCTGTTTGACATGCTTTGTGATTTCTCTTGTATTTATGTACAGACACAGAGGGTCTCATCTTAAATATTATGTTTTCTGTTTGTATGCCCTATGTGATTTCTCTTGTATTTATGGTCTGTTGGTTTGTATAATGTGCGCTTTGACTTAATTTGGCCCTCCACATGTAAGGTTTGATGTATGTTCCTTGTACAACATATTGTTCATAACTACAAAATCATGATTGTAGCAAAAATACTTCCAGATATTATCACATAACCTATCTATAGCTGTACTTATTATTGGTAAAAAATATTGTGAAGTTTGAATATTGAAAAGCATGTCTGACTTATAGAATTAAACAGATGGATCATTACCCAACCTTTAAATTAGAGACTCAAGTAGTTCTTTGTTGTAATATCGTTCTGCAGTTTTTCGACCAGTTGCAATGGGTGTACAATAAGTTTTTCTTTGTCCTTTGCAGGGGAGTCACTGACCTAAAAGATGTTCTCTGGAGCGGTTCGTTGACATTCAAGCACGCGCTTTCAACTTCAGCTGCAAATGTTGATGGTACAGCCTTAGTTTATATACTTATTCTTACACAGCCCGCTGCATGCTTCATTCGCTAACTGCAAGAACATCTTTATCTGCAGAGAATGCATCTGTTAAAAAGTATGCGAGCTACACTGTGTTCAAGGGAAAGGCTGCACTTTCTATAAGTCCTATCCTTCCTTTATTCACCAAAGTTGAAGTATGTTTACTTTTATATCTTTGTGTTCCACGTCTAAGCTTCTAGCAAGCAATGCCTTCCAATATATATGATTTTTTGTATGTTATCAGTCTGGAGGATCTCGAGTGGACAGGAATGGGTCAGTAATGTTGACCTTTTTCCCGGCAGTTGGACAAAGGAAGTACGACTATACAAAGAAACAGGTAAAATATTTTCTTGTGTATTTGGTATTTCCTAGTGGTAGAAACTGGTCATAAGCAGGTCAATTCCTAGTCATAGCCCATTTTATCCATATTCTTGCCATGAACTCCAGACCAAATCATTACTGTGACCAGTATTCATATCTAAAGTATACATGACCATTGCTAGTACTGTTATTACTTTATGTTGGATATAAACTCCACTAAAAAATTATGAAGTGTGCACTTTTTAGTAAGCCATAACAAATGGAAGCGAACTTGCAGGATGTTTGCTACAATTAAAGAATGAAATTAATAGTTGCGTTTGGCATGAATTAGCTATGCACACAACAATAGTCAAGAGGGAAGGAAGGTTCATCCTGCATTTAGTTCAACCATTAAAGGATCATCTGTAGTTTGTACTCCCTTTTTTTTTCTGTTGTTGGTCATAGGCTCAGCTGGCAGCGAAGACCAAAAGTATCTTGATATTTCTCTTTGTAACAACCGCACTGTTTTCTTTTGCTTTTAAGTTCCTCTTTGTAAATTTGTTTTTGTACGCACAACATAGGAATACATTGTCTAAAACTCGATACTGCATTGGGCTTTATGGATCTGGAACATTTGTTTTACAGCTCTTTGCTCTGTCACCTACTGAAGTTGGGAGCTTGATAAGTCTTGGGCCTGCTGAATCATGTGAATTTTTCCATGATCCTTCCATGAAATCAAGGTTTGTGATAGTATTGTGCAAAGAATAAAAAGTTACATACATATACTTTGTGCTTTTAGTTTTAGCCTTCTAACTACACCAACATTTCACCAGTCATGAAGGCCAAGTGAAAAAATCTTTGTCAATCACTCCTCTTGGCAGTGACAATGGATACTTTGTTAACATAAGTAAGTGACTTATGGATCGTATCGCCTTTCTAAGTTCTAATGTACCTTATTTATTATTTTCGATAGTAATTGATTTCGCCCTCCCCCCAAACGCACACATCATTTTTGGGATGTCCAATCTCTGTCTTCTACATGAACCTAGCAAGGAGTGGACTAAAAATCATTTTATTAACTGAACATAATGTCATAATTATCCATGTCAAGGCCTTAGCATTTTCAGAGTTGCGAAGAAATTGTTCTCTTCATCACATGAGTCTGTTTTATTTTCTGAAAGGATGCATTCAGCATGCCTTAGATCATTCAGCATGCCTTAGATGACTTAAAAGGCTTTGTGCCTGCCTATGGCTACTTGATATTTGTACTTTTGTAGATGACACAATACTCAAGCTGTGCCATCTGTCCGCCATAGCCTAAATCTAGAATGCTCAACAGAGCCTAGGAGTTAGTCAACTTGTGAATTATATTGGTCCTGCCCACGTGCTCAAGTACAATCTCTTGCATTAATTTGACTTCCGAGGGATTTTATCTCTGAATCTTAAAACAACTGCCTGATAAAAGGGAATGATTCTGCTCTATAGTTATCCTATTCACCATATTTATTCAGCACACTGTACAGAGCTATTATATTTTCTTTGTCCACTACTATCTCTGTATGTTTGTGTTATTCTGCTAGCTTCCTTTTCTTGTGTTATCATTGAATGATTTTGGCAAGAGATACATGACAATCTTCTTTTCAGCTGTTCTGAATAATGTGCAGAAGACCAACGAACGCCTTTCAGTCCCTGTAACAAAAGCTGAATTTGCAGTTATGCGCACGGCATTGAGTGTAAGTTTCCATGTTGCCATTCTCATCTATTGATGCAGAAGTTTATTACCAGGTTATCCTGACTACCCTAATTCCCGCTGATAATTGAATCGACAGATTTAGTCCAACTAACTGACATGCTGGCAATGCATAACTAACAATAGTAGGTTTGGTGTACTTGAACTTTTATCATAGCTCTATTTCACCGCATTCCGTTTTATAGCATCAGGTTTGTGTCATACTGCATGGATTCATTCTCTTCCACAAAGTTGCTTGGGTCATTGGCCCCTGGTGCTCATATTTGCTTTTCTATTTACGCGATTTTCAAGTATATCATTGTAACTACTAGTGATGACTCATGAGTCATAACAAGCAAATTCAGGCTGTTGCCAACAAATTTTGTGTTGTTGCTTCTCTATGATTACGTTACATGTACATTTATGATGTCTTTTGACTACTCGCTATATGTATGCATTTGTGCAGTTTGCATTGCCGCATATCATGGGTTGGGACCAGGCCCTATCGACTCACCCTCAAAGCACCTCGACCTCAGCTAGCAAGCCTAGGTTCGAGCGGCCAAATCCAGCTTCGGAGTGGGACAGGTGAAGCTTTCCCCCTAGCAGCAGATAGCCGGAGGGCTCTAAACACCGCCACAGGTCGCCACTGAATGTGTGGAGGTGTGGGATGTTGAACTGTGTTTCTTTTCTGATCAAACTAGGGAACTCTCAGATTTTATGGTACCCAAGGAGATTGAAGTTAGGATGAAAAGCACCATGAAACCTCTTGTGTCTGTTCAGTGCACGTGTAGATTCATGGCGAATGTCTATTCTAGATTAAGCTATAACTTGCGTTTGATGTCCTCAGTGGCTGTTCAATCCTGTGGACTGTGTGTGATTCAAATGTCTGGATGCTTGGGAGTCATTTGAATATATCACAAATCTGCCACAAACCGGAGTGCGCTACAGCAACCATTGCCTTTGACGCACATAAAAGGAAAATAAGAATTGACAACTTAAGATTTATTTGACTTCAGCTCCACTTGAACAACCAACGAACAAGATTCCACATATTCCTCTTAACAAAACACTATACACAGGGGCTATGGGGCGATGAGGTAGTGCCTTCGAACACATGCTCTTTCAAATATCTAGACTACAGATGCTACAACAGCGATAAGATGATGTCGATCAGATTCACAAGAATTTATCTGATGTCTTGGGAGGACCAAGCAGGTGCAAAGAACCACAAAGAACCAGGACAGGCTACACACAAAGAATTGGTTACAATCCAGCGGAGACCAACCCATGCAGTGTAATGATCCCAGACACGACGTTTTTGTCATCGACGACAGGCAGGAACTGCACAGGTGAAGGGGGCGACTCCATCTTCTCCATGGCTTCAACGGCCATTGCATCCGCAGTGATTGTCCTTGGGTTCCTGAAAGAGGTCAAGCAGGCCTGTTAGTGAAGGGGGCTCTAGATCATATCAAGCATACCAACAGAACACATGCAAAAGAACAGAAGGAAATTGGTATGGGTTGATTCAGTTTTATAACAAGATGATGCCACATTCTTCAAAGCTACTTCTAACTTATGCTATTTGTACTCTGGATCTTGAGGGGAACTTAATAAAGTGACCAAAATGCGCTTGAGAAACAGAGCGCACAGTGCGGGGTCATTGAGATCTGAATGTGGCTAGCCAGTAGCATGTTGTCATGAACCACAAATCCCAGGGCATAACAAGAGTTACACTGAACAACCAATGCACCAGGCATGCGCTCACTCACTAGCAGCTGGGCAAATCACCATCTCCTCAGTGACAGCTCAAAACACCCTACCAGGTGATCACTACAGGCAAATGGCATGCTGTTGCCTCTCACATCCACAGAATCAGCACTGCCCTCATGGGAGCTGTGGTCCTTTATTGGGACATGACAAGAACAGGTCAAGGACTGACAACAATACTCTCTGTTACCAGATCTTGTTGCACCACAGGACAACCACAGGACAATTACGAGGAGTACGTTATTGAGCTATCAAGATCCTATCTGGGGCATCAGACCACTTTAACTAAGAAAATAAGGAACATTACTAGGTGGAAGACAACCATTGCATGCAGAAAGTTTAGTTGTTGAAGACCAAAGATTCAACTAGAATGACCAGTGAACAGAATAACTGAAATTAACTCTGAACAAAGGAAACTGGACTTTTAACAGAACACTCGGTAGCCAGTCCTCATCATGAACTGACAGAATATTCATACGAGTAATTTAAGTATATATTGTAAGAAATGACACATTAGGTTTAGGGTACATGATAAAATTTACTCCCTCCGATCCTAACCTTAGTTCAAAACTGCGACACTTATTATGGACTGGAGGGCCTAGCATATACTCCCTCCAGCCCAAAATAAGTGTCTCAACTTTAGCACAACTTTGTACTAAAGAAGTTAGTACAAAGTTGAGACACTTATTTTGGGACGGAGGGAGTATTTCCTTTGATTCTAAAAAGAAACACTTGTTAAACGGCGAGGAAAGAAACAAAAGTCTCTTTTCATGACCGGTTTTATTTTTAACACTTGTGCTTAACTTCATCTTGTTTCAAAAGGCTCTTTATGCCAAAGAAGGATGATATCTTTGTTGAACGATGCCAGCCATGTTATTACCCAGTTTACCATTTTCCAGAGTATTATTCCAGATAGTTTTCCAAATCCTGGCTCTACTAGAAAAGATAACGCTATACATAAAGACTGAGCAGAGACAAACCTGTTGCACATCTCTCCAACTGTTAGACTGAAAATAGCTGGCCCGCTTGCCTTGAGTGTACGCCGGAGGTCTCCGTCGGTGAAAGTTCCAATCAAATGATACTCATCATCAACCACAAGAAGACAGCCACAACCTTTACTAGTGAGCTCAGTAAGTTGATCCATTATCATATCTCCCTCCTTGCACAATGGAAGCTCATTTTGTTTCTTCATGACATCCTTAACCTGCAGGGCAGTTTTGCAGGTTATGATTTTGACACACTATTACCTGAAGAACATTCCACATGCACAAGAAAAGAACCAATTGTTTTAATTAAAGGATAACGTAATTTCTCATGGTTACAAGATGCAAGTATTTCACATTGTATGACCATATTATTATCTGTTCTCGTTTCTGGCCAAAAAAGTACGAATTTAGGTAAAACTCAACATGGTGCTGATAGTTTTCCAAACTCTGTATGAATATATAGATCAGTTAAATGAGTTTTAATACAATGACATAAATCAGTTAGAGAAAATGATGTAGGCTTGCTTTAAATTGTGTAACCATACTACTAAACAAGAAAGGCAAAAACATGCATCCATCTGTTTAGCATGATTGTATTGTTATGCAAAATATGTGCCAAAGTATTTTTGTTATCTGATGAACACAAGGGAAAAGCGACCTATCAACAGCAGACCACATTGCTATAATTCCAAGAGGTGTCATAAAAAAAAGAGAAGGTGACAAGAAACAGCAACAGAAACAAGATGTTGAATGGATAGTGACACAATCGTGAAAACATAACGAGCATGTGCCGCATCATGTGTACAGCATTTCAAGTTGGGGAAATGATGCAGGTTTTCTCTCATTTTTAACCATACTACTAAACAACACAAGTAAAAGCATGCATTCATCTAAGCAAGTTTCTATTACGAAGTATCTATGCTGTTGCATGAGCACAAGGCGAAAAGAACTTATCAACAGCAGACCACATCGTTATAACCCCACGACGTCTCATGAAAGAGATAGTGACAAGTATATATAATCACAAATAGAAACAAAAAGTTGGTTGGATAGTGGCAAAATTGCCAAATCATGCCGTATCATGTGTACACCATTTCACCTGAGGAAATTATACAAAGAAGGCCACCGATACGCAATGCATCAAGTACAAATTAGTAATTGTATAAGATCTGATTTTAGATCCGATGTCCCATTGGGTGGCTGCACACGGAATTGCCAAAAACTGATAATAATGTTCATAATGCAGGATAGCTTGCTGATGAAGGAAGGTATACCTTGAAGATGAGGGTCTTTCCGATCTTTCCGGCGGGGTGGTTTGACGCGTACTGGTCCCTGGTGAGGCGGCGCGCCTCCATGATGGCGGCGACGACGGTGTCGCCGAAGACCATCTGTATGGCGGTGGAGGTGACGGGCGCGAGGCCGAAGGGGCAGACCTCTCCCTGCAGCGGGAGGTGCACGTTGAGGTCGCAGGCGGCGGCGAGCGGGCAGTCGGCGCCGGAGGCCGCGGAGGTGAGGGAGATGAGCTTGGCGCCCTTGGCGCGCGCGCAGGGCGCGAGCGCGAGCAGCTCGTCGGAGGCGCCGGACTTGGAGAGCAGCACGAGGACGTCCCCGGGGAAGACGGAGCCGATGTCGCCGTGGAGCGCGTCGACGGGGGAGAGGAACCCGGCGCGCGCGAAGCCGAGGGAGGCGAGCGTCTGAGCCAGCTTGCGGGCCACGATGCCGGACTTGCCGACGCCGGTGAAGAAGACGGCCCCGGGCGCGTCCAGCAGCGCCTGCGCGAACGCCGCCGCCTGCGGCATGTCGAGCCGGTCGAAGAAGTGGTCGAGGTGGCGGCGCTGCGCGTCGAAGAGCGCGGCCAGGTCCGACGCCGCCACCGTCGCCCGCGTCCCCTCCGGCGGCAGCGGCGCGCATTCCGCCGGGGAGAGCACCGGGAGCGAGCCCATGACGCCGCGCGCGGAAATGCCGCGGCGGCGAGGGGGCGGGAGGAGCAGGATGGGCTCTCTCTGCGGTGAAACGGGCGCCGCGGGAGAGAGGGGTGTGCGGGTGTGTGTCGTTTGCGCGTCCCCGCGGCGATCTGGAGCTAATGGAGGAAGTGCGCTACGAGCTGATTAATTAGGGGATTTTGACGCGGATAGATCTGTGGTGCGCTCTGGCGGTTTGCATGATTGCATCAGCGCTGCCTGTGGCATTGACGGATGCCGGTAGGACGGGGATGGTCGCGCGGTGATTGAGGATGGCAGGGGGTGGCCAACTCGGTGTCGAGAAAGTGTGGGTTTACGGCCCGAGATCGCGACCCACGTGCTCTCATTCGCAGGCTCGTCACGTCGCAGAAGAGTGTGGGACCAATCAATTCAAGTCCCGGTGCTCGTATTATTTTTAAATTTATTTCATGATTTTCGATGATTTGCTTTCGGTGGAAGGAGGTGTTTTCGTCGGCGACGAGGCATCTATGATGACTTCGTAAATCTCAAGATGATATACCGGTTCAGTTTATTAAAGATGCTCATAGGGGTAGGGTATGCGTATGTACGTTCACAGGGATAAGTGTATGCGTATATATATGAGCGCTTACGTCTGTACCATGTTCAAAAGAAAAAGAAGAGTTTGGGACCCATCAATTCTGGTAGCATATGCAAAGGTATCCAGACGATAAAATACATCCCTCCAAGATGCAAGGCCAGCAAAAATGATGGGCCCTGGTTGCTCATGATAGATTTTATCAAGGACTTTGTGTAAAAATAAATCGTCGATGTCTCCACATGTCACATATCGCCCGTATCTTTAGCGAGGAAAAGAAGTTAGGAATGGAGATACCAATGTTAGAGCATCTCCAATAGTTGATGTACAAGCCAATGCTTAAAAATTATTTTAGGGCAGCAGAGATAAGGTATTTGGGGACCAAACAAAATTCTACCGTAAAACTAGTGCCCTGAAATTTTGTCATTTTTCAGCTATCAAACATTCAGCTATCAAACATTTTAAAGTTTATTCGACCCAATAAACCCAAGAATAATAATATCAAACTCATGTCAAATTAATCCAAAACAAATAAAACACATCCATTACATAATTAATACATAGTTCATCAGTCCACAAGCTCAAATTCAACATGCTTGTTCATCAAACATAACACAAAATTCATCGCTCATGATATGAAACATAGATGGACCATCCGAGCTATATGAAAGTTGAGCTATTCGAGTTGATCACCCCCCGCCCTCCCCAGCTGTATGAAGAAGTGTGCAACAATCAAATTTTCTTTGTTCAACCTATATATAACTAGTGTGTATGCACGAATGCACGTGCAATGCACGTCTTAACAGTATGGTGTGATTCCAAAAAAAAATACTTTGAAAAATGAATTCCGAGCAAAAAAAATATTGTTGATGCACACGAAATAGAGTTTAGAAATTTACTAATTGGTAGTATAAAATGCAACTACTGCCTGCGGTCATCCAGAAATTTTTGAAGAATATAAAAAAAGTACGTGGTGGAACCCACAAATTGTTTACTTCAAGTTTAGTTTCTCCTCCAGACCATCTCTCATCGGCTCACAACCAACTCTCTTTTTTTACTCATCACAACCTGACAATTGCAGCATAGTAGAGGAGGCATAGGTCTTCTTTTCAGGAAGGTATGACACTGTGCAGCGATGATTCCAGAACCAAGTAGATTCAGCTGCAGGCACTGTTAT